ACAACCTACATCCACACTCACCTCTGTAACAACAACCTACATCCACACTCACCTCTGTAACAACAACCTACATCCACACTCACCTCTGTAACAACCTACATCCACACTCACCTCTGTAACAATAACCTACATCCACACTCACCTCTGTAACAACCTACATCCACACTCACCTCTGTAACAGTGTTTAAACTGTGGGTGGTCAGAAATACCCAAATGCCCAGTGGTGGAAAAAAGCAAGATTTGTTTCACCGGATGCAGCCCTCCTATATCATATAACCAACTTAATGCTGAGTGGCAAGTGTGCCATGAAATACATGACCCAAAAATAAAACTTACAGAACAATTTTTGTGTCATATATGAACAAATATCCATCCCACATTGCGTTAATTACATAGGTTGCTCTGGCAGGTATGTCCAACCCATGCTTACCAGGCTGTATGAGGCCAAGGAGAGCTGTGATGAGCCCCCACATCAAATCATAAACTTATTTAAAATACTATGAAATTTTTTTGTATATGTGATTTTTTTTTGAAACCTGAGTGTGTGGTTTGTGTCACAGTGTCAAAAGGCAGGACATGTCTGGAGGAGAAAACCATGATAGGCCTGGGAGAAAACCATAGGAGAAATATTCATCCAAGAATTTACATTTCCTTAATAGTTACATTTCCATAATAGTTACACATGTCCATTTCAGATGATAAGAACATAAGTGATTGTACATCCTCCATACTCTTTGATATTCCGTTTCCTCAAACTAAACTAAAGTAAAATAAAATAGAAGTCATAGGCACCATGCTCCTGGCTTCCGGAACTGTGCTCAGATAAGAAGCTTCACGTAAGGAAGGGCGGTATTGGCTTCACCCAACTCAGTAACTGGCTTCCAAATGAATGAGCATACATGAAAACTTTTCTTATGCTATAAGGTGATATAGTAGTCTCATTATTAATGCTATTTTTATGGCCATCATCATTTCTGCACTAATGAGTGCTAAGTAGACCAATAGTCTGAAAACGTTGCTCTGTGGAATTTAAGGGACCTTCATGGGCTCTAAGGCCTATGTGAAGCCTCTGGGGCACTCTTTGGGAAAACTAAAAGATAGGAACG